GCTACATACAGAGTTCGCTACTCTGGAGCACATAACCTAAAAAGGCAGTTACTGTTCTAATGCCTGATATGTCTTGCCTCTAAACCAAAAGAGGTAAGGAATATTTAATGTGCCTATTCTGCAAGGTGGCTAATGGTACACTGTAGCTATACAAATTGACCAGTATTCTGGGCAAACAGCCATCTTCTGTAAGCTTTATTCTTCTAATATTAAATTATCCAGCTTTAAAATGTGTGGTAGTAGTGAATCAGAGAAACAAACCTCCCTGAGGACATTTAAATCAATTTGTGTTAAATTTGTCTGGTTGCTATATCAGGGCTTTTCAACCTTTTCACCCATTGTACCACTTTTAGGATATGGCAATATCCGAGTACCACCAGTCGCCTAGCAAGGTGTCAAAAACTTGATGACCAAAAAAAAAAAAAAAAGGAAAAAGTGATAAAATACAGGTAGTCCTCGACTTACAACAGTTCGCTTAGTGACTGTTTGAAGTTACAATGGCACTGAAAAAAGTGCTCCCCAAGGCACAGCCGAGCAAGACACCTGCCTGCCCACCCGGCAGCGCTCTTCCTCCTGTCCAAAGTTTTCATTGTTGTGAGCATTTCTGTTGAGGATTGGCAGCGGGGGTAGAGTGGAGGGTGTTTGGTTTTTATTCCCCCCATCTGCTGGGTGGTTGCAGCAGGTTTTAATCGCTTCACATGACCCTGGGACACTGACCGTCATAAATATGAATCAGTTGCCAACCATCTGAATGTAATTCACAAGACCCTGGAGATGCTGCAACATTCCAGCTGATCAGCGCTTTTTCTGGGCTCAGCAGAAGCGCCAGGATCAGCGCCGAGCTCCAGCTGAAGCCTGGCGCTGATCCTGGTGCTTCCACTGAGTCCTGACAGCCCCGAAGAAGTGCTGATCCTGGCGCTTCCACTGAGCCCTGACAGCCCTGCAGCTCCAGCCATCTCTCGCTTAGGCTTGTGCGGTGCTCCCACCGGTTCAGCTCATTCCCCTCCCCCTCTATCACTTTTCTAGGATGGTCACGTACCACCTGCCAGGTGCCAATGTACCACAGGTGGTACCCATACCACTGGTTGAAAAGCCCTGTGTTATATAATCTGTTTTTTCTTCAGATGGTATAGGTAGATATATTAAGAATAAAAACAGTAAATAAAATCCTCATGCTCTGGGTTTTGGTGGTCTGAAATTCTGTATCTTAACATATTTTTTTCCTAACTGGATATAACATATGCTTCCATTATAAGTGTCTCTGTCTGAAGCCTGCTTCTGACATTGTGGTCTGATTTAGTCCTGATGACTAAGATGACTCTTACATGTATCAATTTCTCCTTTAGTATAGCCATTTGAATATCTCACATAATTTTTGTGAAAGTGTACTGATATGATCTTGGAAGAAAACTAAAAGACTGAGGGGGCGTTATCTCTACCCTATATAATAATTCTGTTTCTACTTGCAGCCTGAGTTGCATTTAAATTTGAACAAATGTGCAGCTGCATGATAATTAAACTTAATTTTTTCACAAGATGTTTAAAGCTGTATAGTTGCTTAGTCCATAAAGGAACAGATTTTCTTTGTCCTTAAGCCTTGGCAATTTGGACTATCACTCATCAGTTTTTTAACTAACATCAAACTTATTCCACATTTCGAGTTACAACCTCAAGTTTATATCTACCATTTACACTACAAAAAAGTTCTAGGAGAATTCCCAACTTTGAAAATAAAGGTGATAAGAGAAGGCCCAACTATTTATTTTGAACCTGTCGGGGCAGATGCCACCTTAAGACGGAAGAACAATAAAGTATATGGAAGATCTGTTCACCTGTAACTATGCATAATGAAATCAGGACCAAAACCTGAAATCTACTTAAGATCAATCTAGATGTCATGCCACAAATTCAGTAAAAAGATGGTCTGCAGATTATTGGTATAGCTAGTTGTTAACCTTTTCTTCTATACTATTCCTATTTAAAATTTCTTCACCTGAGCTGTTATGTATCACATAAGACAAGTGTGCAAACAGTGATAACAACAATAGATTTGATCATTTCCAGGCATTATATTCAGCTGGGTTCATAGAAGTGTCTTGCCTTTGGCTTTTACACTGTGCTTTTTGGCTTGATTTTCTTTATTGTCTCTAAAAATACTAAGGACATATTGACATATTTCAAATTTCCTAGCTTGGAGTCCTTTGAAATTGCTTTCCACACGATTAGTTACTGTCAACTTGTATCAATTTGCCTCTCCTTGCTTTTGCAGGTGGTCCGTAGTCGTCTAGAAAAGCAAGGTATCACTGTCCACAATGTGAGGTTGAATGGCTCAGCAGCTAGTCACGTGTTGCACCAGGACAGCGGTCTGGGGTATAAAGATCTGGATCTCATTTTTGGTGTTGATCTGAAAAGCGAGGATATTTTCCAGCTGGTAAAAGATGTAGTGATGGATTGTCTCCTGGATTTCCTCCCAGAAGGGGTAAACAAAGATAAGATCACTCCCATGACTCTGAAGGAGGCCTATGTGCAGAAGTTGGTGAAAGTGTGCAATGAAACTGACCGCTGGAGCCTTATATCGCTGTCAAACAACAGTGGGAAGAATGTGGAACTCAAATTTGTAGACTCTCTCCGGCGGCAGTTCGAGTTCAGCGTTGATTCTTTCCAGATCATATTAGACTCACTATTGCTCTTTGGAGAGTGCTCAGAGAATCCAATGTCTGCAAACTTCCACCCCACTGTCACTGGGGAGAGTATGTATGGGGACTTTGAGGAGGCGATTGATCATCTGAGGAATCGAATCATAGCTACAAGGAATCCAGAGGAAATCAGAGGAGGTGGGCTTCTGAAGTACTGCAACCTCCTCGTGAGGGGATTTCAACCTAAATCAGAAGTTGACATGAAAGCCTTGCAGAGGTACATGTGTTCGAGGTTTTTTATAGACTTTCCTGACATTGGGGAACAGCAACGAAAGTTGGAATCTTACCTCCAAAGTCACTTTGTAGGGATGGAAAGCAAAAGGTATGATTGCCTGATGACCTTACACAGAGTGGTAAATGAGAGTACGGTGTGCCTGATGGGACATGAAAGACGACAGACGCTGAACCTCATTGCCATGTTGGCCCTCAGGGTCCTGGCTGAACGGAACATAATTCCAACTGTCACAAATGTGACTTGTTATTATCAGCCAGCACCATACATCAGTGAAATAAACGTCAACTATTACGTAACCCACATGCAGCCTCTTCTGCCTTGCAGTCACTCCTACCCAACATGGCTCCCTTGCAACTGAATACTGAAAAAAGCTCCAGTCTTTGTCTTCTCGAGAAGCAGAGGCTGTGTGTTCAGAAGAAGAACAAAAAAAAAATAAGGTCTCTTGCTCTGAGTATCTTGCTCCTACATTGGAATTATAAGTCTACTTAATCCTGGGAAATTGTGCAGTGATATGTCTAATTACCAGAGATGTTTACAGGAAGAAAATGCTTGAATTAATGTGTAAGATGGGTGGAAAGGATTAGGTTAAAAGCAGAGCTGCACTACCTTAAATGCACGCTGTTTTTTCTTTCTTTCTTAGTGCAAGAAGCATTATGGGCTGTGCAGACTCTATTTTTTCTGAACATATTTCAAAGTGGTTAATTCCTTTTAAGGGACCAAAGAAATCTTGTACAAGTGCCTGCAACCAAAAAAGAAATATTGTAAAAAAATTTTTGTAGTGGCAGAAATCTATACTGACAGCTTAGTTATGGATGTTTGCCAGGAATTTTTGGTTTTAGGATCACACATTCATTTTTGTCAAGGGAACTGAGGTAGGTAGAGGCTTTCCACAGCAGCCACTGTAACATGGTTGCTGTCTGATGGACCAGCAGCATTGATTAACAGTTAGCGCAGAGCTGGGATGGGGAACTAAATGGGGGCTAAATTCATAATGATAGAGAATTTCTAATGAGATGGATTATGTGCCCTCATTGCGAAAGCTACCAGAGAAAATAGGAGCTACCCTGAATTCAACTTAATGTGCAGTGCCAAAACCCTTAACACATTAATTCCTCTTAAAGGAAAGTCTATAGATCAGTATTTTGCTGTGTGGATCAATATATCTTTTTCATGCAAGGAGCAGTTGTTCCCAGGCTTTAATAGTCTCTACGGCTGTCAATGGTATTAAAGTAAAAATGAGCTGGACCAAAAAACATAAAAAGATATATGCATAGCCTTTTTTCCTGGTTAAAGGAGAGAACCAGTTAGACCCTGGCCCAGAACCCTCAACTTTCTGTCTAATAGCCCACTACCGTATCTTGAGAACTGTGCTTCTCTTTCTGTTGGATGTCTGTGACCACCTACTTGATTCCATGTTCGACTAAGGAAACATTTTATCACTGCTTGTTGTGGCTGTGCAACACTTTATAGTCTTAATTTGACAAGGTATCAGTGATGTATTGAATCAAGTCATCAAATTGAGGACGAGATTTAATGCGTTGAATCAGATGAAGTGACCCAATTTAGATGACTTTTGTTTGAATTGAACTTACAAATTGGATTAACACAATTCACACAATTCAAATCTGATTTAAAAAAAAATCAGATTAGGATTGGATCTGATTTGCACAGGCCCATTGCCTTGCTGTTGCTTATAAAACATTGATCTAGAGAAAATTCCTCCTGTATTGCGCTTGCTACAGTAGAATAAGTAGGAGATGAGGGAGAGAGCTGTAGAGAACTGTACCCAAGATATTGTTGATGTCTTGTCAAATTAGGTTTTGAAATAATTATTTACCCAGCACAATAATCCTTCCTGTATATTTTTTGGGATTGCATAGAAATTTTACAACATATCAGTTCAGATTAGTTTATACTCTTTAGGAAGCTGAGGCAGCAGCTACTTTGGCTGTTGGACATACCTGCGCTGTAAGGGATACACAAAAATGCTCCATGGTGTATCTTTGAAGGTTGACTTATTTACTAATCTGTTTTCTCTGCAATCAAACTGTACCTTGTTGGAGCAGATGAAAAAAAAAAAAAGAAATAAAATATATACTTGGATTGTGTCTAGCTAACATCCTGCCTCTTCCTGAGAGACAATGAGCTGAGATGGTAAGGCAGTTGTTTAAGATGTGTTGACTAATTGACCAATACTTACCCCAACTTCACCCACTTTGGTATTTTTACAAGTTGTACAAGCTAAGAGAAACTTCTCGTTTTTGATAAATCCAGTGCTGTGTAAATAGATTTCTTGAATATATACCGGTAGGTGACTTTAGATGATCTCTCCTCTATACTGGTGAAGTCTTCCATATTCTGTAGTGAACATGGCTGCAGTGCCTGATGATTAAGGGGGTTGTCCTAGGTTTCCTTTGCCGCTTGAAAGAAGGCTCTGCTTTTCTAAACTGTCTCCTTTGACAGCCATTTGATAATTCACATTTACGAGGAAGGAAATGGGTTTGCACTAAAACCGCACAACTGGCTGCCAGCAATGTTTTTGGCTGAAATGATGGGTGAAAATTTAAATAGTAAAAATTGCCTCTTTTTAAAAAAAAACAGATCAATGCTGTGTTTGGGGAACAAAGTTATCCCATGTAATCAAAGGCTTGCTGGATGCTTTTTTAAAGCACTTTTTGCTGTATAGAGATGTGTGGTGAAATATAAGTAGAAGCTGCACCAGATATATCTGCTGTGATGCTGCTGTTTTCCTTGTGTGCATGAGAATATGCTGAAGAGTTTGACACTATGAATGGCACTTCTAGACTTGTGTTTGAATGTGTTCTGCAGCTATCAAATCTGTCATGCAATAAGCCTGACATAAGAACTTTGGATTCTTTAGAATCTGTCACCATAAATAAATACAATGTATTGAACTCTGTTGAATTTACTTTACTTAATCATACCAAAGTACCATAGTTTTGGTTTCTAAACCTCAATTCTCTCTTTGGCCTCAAACAAAATTGATCTAAGTTAGCCTTCCCCATCCTGTACATTCTAGATAAACTAGACTACAAAGAAAGGCTGTTTTAGGCCACCCAACTTAAAAGGCTTCAGGACTAAAGGTGGCTTCCAAACTGCTATCCTTTCTCCTCCTAAGTGCATAACTGGCTTTTGCAGAGTAGGTGAAAAGAAGTAGGAAACGCCATGCTGAAGTTTCACTGCAGTCTTCTGTCCTCTGCAATTGTTAATTGTATCTTCTACTGATGATTGGATGATACTTGTCCCAGTTCATATATGGTGCAATCCAAGGCAGAAGGCTAACCACTCTAGAGTGCCAAAAGAAAAAAAAAAGGATAGGGAACATTGCTACAGAGGAGTCACATCATTTGTGCCAAGATACAGAATGATTCACATCTTCCTAATGCAATAGTATTTCAGTACATATTTAAATTACCTTTCAAAACAGTTCTAGATGGAGAGAGCAAAGAAAAAAAAACTCATAAGTACATGGGATTTATGCATTGCCTTCTCTGCGAGGCCTCTGTTTAATCAGTGGCTGCCTTAGCTGCTTACTATGCTCTTTCTAGAGTAAATGGAGAGTGTTGAATTGAGGTTTGGGATGCTATACTTCAAAGTATCCTATGTATATAGAGAACTATATCTTAACATGGCTTGTGAATAGCCAAATTATTAGTGATAATGGATGCTTGCACGGGGGAATAGCCTGGCTCTGTGTGCCTTCCAGATACCTTATAGGGGTCCTCAACCTTGGCGACTTTAAGACTTTAAGCCAGCTGAGGAATTCTGGGAGTTGAAGTCCCCAAGTCTTAAAGTTGCCAAGGTTGAAGACCCCTGCCTTATACTGCTATTCCAAAAACCATTTGCTATTGACTAGACACATAAATGAAAGTTAATATCTAAAGCTACTGGAAGACATCTGGTGATCTAGGCTGGTTCTGATTTTATCTCTATCCTCTTTCAATAGTCATTCTTGGCTTTACTTGCTATCCTCAGAACACTACTCAGTACAACCTTCCATTGTGAAATTAATTTGGTCTTTAAACATAATATGATATAGGTTGGGGGAGGGGGTCCTGCCAAGTTTTTACCTCTTATGCCATTCCAATAGCACAAATCCTGGTCCTAATCCTGTAATTGGCAGTTGTCTCTGAAACTGACCAGAGCAGCACAAACCACCTGATGTGGATGGCTTTTTCTATTGTTGGAGCAGATCACTCCTAAACAAAAGGATGCTTGTGGAAAACACTAGTTGTGATCTGAAAAGGGGCTTTCAATGTGTTGAGTGTTTGATCTCTTAAAAAAAAAAACTAATAAAAATCTATTTTCTCAAAAGTTAGTCTGTCATTTTTAATTGAACAGAAAAGCCAATATCAAAATGATGAAGGCTAACAGTATAGTCAATAAAAACCTTATGTCCAGTCTAGGAAGCATATTGTTGGAGGAATGTTTAATCTGAGTGTAACAAATTGGAAGAATGCTCTACAGTGCAGTCCAATACTGGTTTAATAGTAACCATAGCAATAAATTAAAAAGTCTTGTCAAAATGTAGTAATGTAGGTGTATTTAAAGGATTGTAGGTGGGACAGCAATTGAACAAATCAAATAGTATTTTTATTTCTACTTTCTTAGGTTTGATACAGGTTTGGGAAGTTTGATGAATTGCTTACAGTGCTATACTTTCTGGCATAAAGCCTATTTGTCATGGTTCTATCTTGCCTAGAATATGACCTAGGTCAGTGTTTCCCAAACTTGACAATTTTAAGGCATGTGGACTTCAACTCCCAGAATTCCACAGCCAGCAACGCTGTGGAATTCTGGGAGTTGAAGTCCACATGCCTTAAAATTGTCAAGTTTGGGAAACACTGACCTAGGTTATATACCAGTGAGTCATGATTTACTTAACTACAGTTCACAGGATAAATCACAATGAGTGGAGTAGGTCTGTCCAATATAGTGAGCCAAAATTGAGCAAAATATATGTTCAGGCAGAGGCTTGGTGGCTGAGAGTTTAATTTGGATGCTGGCTCCTTCCAACCTTATGGTTCTATAACTTTGTGTGCTTTGTGAACCAGTCCATATTTGTGTCCTGATGTTTGCAAAATTGCACTTGACATCCAAGTTACTCCAACATAACTTGTTTCCATGCAAGGTATTTAAATTCAAGGGTAATTAAAAAAAAAACTCAGAAGGAAGCAACCATTGCTAAGTCCTGTGCATAGGCTCATTTGTTATGTGACAGGTTCTTTCTGCCCAAAAAAATGTTGAGAAATAGAACTTATTATAGTGCTATTCAAATCAGCTTCTCTTAGTCCATATGGAAATAGTGTGAAATTGTGCTGAATTTTGGATAGCAGTATTGATTATCCATTTGCTTGTTAAGCATTGGTTGAGAATGTGTAAAAATAAAAGCTCTAATTATATTGCAAATCATATATAACTTAAGTAGAGAAGAGGAAACCAGTTGTCTCAAAAGGAATGTATCTGAAGGCAAAAACTATATGGTATCCTCTGATCTGTAGCCATTTTTTTTTTCTGCTGAACACAGTGCAAAGAAAGAAAAAGATGAATTATCTTCTTTGCCTGCATCCTATATGCATGTTTTCCTATCTTTGGGAGTTCTTACATAATAACTGTGCTTAAAAAACCTACCTTGTTTATCAATAGTTTTCTCCTCTGTAAAAGAGCTTCTACTTAATCATTTACCTTATTCTCAAATTTATTGGGATAGTATATTTGAAATTATGTCATTGTCGGGAGAGAGGGGAAGGTGTTTGTTTTTTGTTCTAGGTCTCTTTGATAGTGTAGCTTCACCTAATTTACAGGTCTGGAAAAAACCTTGAAAAGATTCTTCTCAATTTTCAGCCATTGAATCTGCAAATTCCTGGAAAGCGGGTTGTATGATGAAAGACATTGACCCCTAAGTTTTTTTTTTTACCATGTTGTAGCGAATATAAATGCAAAAACTGTTGCACATAATCATGGAGGATTACATTAAAAAGTTTGAATACAGGTTTTTTTTCCCATGAGTGAATTAAGAATGCTTAAAAATGCAGAATAACATTTTGGTGCAACTGTATTGGAAATAGCTGAAAATGAGGTTCTCTTCTTTCCTTCAGTTGGCTTTGACAATATCTATTCTACCACATTCTGCCTTTGCAGATCAGGTTTCTAGTATATCAAGCCAATTTCAACTGAGAGGGACATTTCAGTGGCCTTGGATCACTTGCCTCCAAATTTCAGGAAGAGGTTTCCTTTGTTTTTATGGTTTTCCTAAAAAAGAACTCTGCAAAAGAGCATTGTCCAGCATCTCCATTTTGTTTTTCCTATAAAGCTTTGGTTATGACTATTTCGTTTATATTCCATATTTCTGTCCAAGGGACAGATGTTATCCTGCTCCCTGGCAATACAGGAAAACCAAATCAGCCTTTATGGATAGCTACTCTCCAACCAGAATGCCTCAGATGGATAAAACACGGAGGACAACTAAAATGATTTAAATAGATTGTGACCAAATCAGACTGTGAAGCTTGTCTGAAAAGCAATGCCTTTTTGTTGTTTGCAAAGAGTGTTAATAATCCCCATGAATAAAATTGATTAATGGAGCATTTTCCTATAAGATAAAAACAAGCACACTCAAAGGTTTAACCTAATCACTTGGTATCTAGTAGTTCAGTGTTTCTCAACCTTGACAATTTTAAGGCATGTGGACTTCAACTCCCAGAATTCCACAGCCAGCAATGCTGGCTGTGGAATTCTGGGAGTTGAAGTCCACATGCCATAAAATTGTCAAGGTTGAGAAACACTGTAGTAGTTGGTTTCCAGAGTCCAAGTTGAACTTAGGTTTCATTCTTTCAAATGGAAATTCCCAGCATCTGATCTTGAAAATAGTTAATGGCTTATGCTGTGGATCTATGTCTCTCCTAAGGGAATGAGGGTTGTATGGAAAGAGTGTTGATGAACTTGCGACAGTGTCTAGCTAAGCCTACAGTACAGGACTGTTGAAAGGTTGATACTTAAACTTCACCAAACAATGCAATAAATTAGAAGTCCCTCTCACCTTCCAATTTGGACTTGGACCTTGTTGTTTATGCTGAAGTACAAACTTGTAATATGTTTTTAGGATGTGCTTTTTCCTGGAATAATAAAGATGTGTAAGTCTATTTATTTGCCCTGATCTAGCCTGTTCTCCAAGCCATGCCAATGTCACCACATGAGCAACAAACACCGTATGGCACTTTCTGGCAACATCATTCCTCCACTGTCCTCTGAAGATAATGTTTACATTCAGTGAATGTTGATACGGATAAGTGTCTTCAGTTTTACATGGGAACACCTAACGGGCCCTTGACTGTGCCAAAGATGGGAGAGTCGTACAATGTAGTTAATATCTGCAATGCACAATATCATTTCCAGGGCAGGCACTGTATTGCTGCAAACAGATCAGGAACAGACCTGAAGTGATCTCAACACCAACCCAATGAAAAACAGGACCACAATGGGGTAATTCCAAGCCTATTTTATGCCTTTTTATTCACTGTGTGAAAGAATGGGAGTGGGGAATCAAGATCTGAGATCGTTTGGCCAGAAGAAAAGTTGTGTAGGTTTCTGTGTGAAAGAATAGGCAGCCTTTCCTCCATTCAGTTCTAATCATGCTCCCCTTTCATGTGGGTCCCAAGTTGTTCCCCACCAATCCTCAGGTTTCCATGGAATGTTCAGTTAGTCTTTTCTAAACTAAGGAAGAGCAGCTCCTGAGTGACATCAGAGTATGATTTTTTGAGCCAATATTATCAAGTAAGTTGGTGCACAGAAGAGACTGGCACTGGAAAAGACTCAACAAGCTATTGTTATGGGGGATTAGTTGTCTATGGAATAATTAAAAAGTGAGCCAGGACATATTGGACAGTTTTCAGGGTTGAGGAATTATTATTTTTTTGTCTTCTTGCTACCCAACTCCCCTTCCCATGGAACCTACATTTTACCAACTAGAACCAGATGTCAAACACCCTAAGCAAGAATCCACATAGTACTGTACATTCAAGAATGCAAACACTTCAGGGGTTTGGAGGCAGAATTAAAATAATAATCTGTTAGTTCTTATTATATGGTGGTACTTTGGGAAGAGAGGTGGGGGTTTAGAAGAAAACTGGACTTGTGGTGGTCCCAGTTATCTCTCATTTATTTATAATTTTAATGATATTGATAAGAACTGTCTTGCCTGTTTTTAATCATTAAAATTAGCTAAAATAAGAACTATAAAAAGGAAATTCTGAAAACAAAGACATTTTTATTGGGAAAAGTGGGCATTTTACCCCATGCTGGTGAAACCCCTGTTCTTTGACAATGTGATAGGCAAAGTTGGGATCCTATGTTCAGCAAGAATAAGGGCTTCAAGGAAATTCATCACATAAAAATAAAGAATCAAAAAAGAAATATTTGAGGTAGTAGCTCTGTAACTGACACCGTTTCTTGGACGATGCAGAAAAGGAGCTGTTTTCCTCTACTCCCTTTCCATCTATTGAACAAACAGGAGTAGAAAAAGGGGAGTCCAATGACAAGCAACTCAAATGCAAACCCAGCCGTGTTGCCCTTATCATAAGGTGTTGTTCAGCTGCTTGTTCTGATTAGATTTGTTGAAAGCCACACAAAGCTCATTTGGAAAATGTATCACTTGGACAGGATGACAAGTTTCTCTCGGACTTTGCAAGATGCAAATGTGGTTTCTTGTAAAGCAGACAAGGTCAAATAGTTCCAGCTGAGAAATAGATAAAATCTCATTATTTGCTTTCTCATTCGCTGAAAAGTCTTTATTAACATATTAATACTAGTCAGTTGTTAGCTTCCCAAGAGGATTTTTAAAGAAAAAGTAAACAAACTGAAAATATGATGGGTAGATTTAGGCGCAGTCAAATCAAACTATGTTGTACGACTGTGATTCTGGTATAATTGAGGCCCCTGACGTCTTGGATACGATTTATTTTAATATGATAGAGGATCTTTTTTAAAAAAAATACCCATGCTCTAATATTAATAAGAATAGAATAGAATAGAGCTGGAAGGGACCTTGGAGGTCTTCTAGTCCAGCCCCTGCTCAAGCAGGAGGACCTACACCATCTCAGACAGGTGATTGTCCAGTCTCTTCTTAAAAACTTCCAGCGATGGAGCGCCCATGATTTCTGGAGGCAAGCTGTTCCACTGGTTGATTGTCCTCACTGTCAGGAAGTTTCTCCTTAATTCCAGGTTGCTTCTCTCTTTGATCAGCTTCCAACCATTGTTTCTCGTCCTTCCCTCTGGTGCTCTGGTGAACAACCTGACCCCTCTTCTTTGTGGCAGCCCCTCAGATACTGGAATACTGCTGTCATGTCTCCCCTATTTCTTCTTTTCTTTAAAGACTTTTACTGAACGTTGAAATAAAGGTTTCCTGCTAATCAATACGTCATTCAAAAGAGTGGTATAGTTCAAGGGTCCTCAACCCCTGGTCTATGAACTGGCACTGGTTTACAGCATGCCAGAAACCGGTCCACACAAACAAGCAAAGCCCCACCCACGGGATGCAGGCAGTATGCGAAATCTCCAGACTGTGGAAAACCCTCTCTCTACGGAACTGGTCCTTGGTGTTCCAAAGGTTGGGGGCCGCTGGCATAGTTTAAATTCCAAAGGGGTTAAATGCAACACTCCAAACATTAAAACACATTAAAATATCTAGAGCCAGAAGGTGACTACTTGATAACTTTCCCAAACTGACCCATGAGAAACCTCTGCCCAATTTCATGGAATTCATGAAACTTTTAATTGGGAGTGTGTGTGTGAGAAAAGGGAAGGATGTTTGAAGCTTTTATTAGATTTAAGGCACTAGTTTTGCTTCTGAACTTTCCCACCAAATTAAAAAGCAGTAGAACAGAAAGATTCCGGGAGACACAAATGGCATTGTGGATGGCCAGGGCAGGGGTGTCCACCTTGGCAACTTTACAACTAGTGGACTTCAAATCTCAGAATTTCCTAGTTAGCTATGTTGAAGTCTACAAGTCTTAAAGTTGCCAAGGTTGGATAGCTCTGGTTATGGGTTGCTCATTCTGTGATCTATGTACAGTAGGACAGGGGTCCTCAAACTTGGCCACTTTAAGACTTGTGGACTTCAACTACCAGAATTCCCCAGCCACAAGTCTTAAAGTGGCCAAGTTTGAGGACCCCTGCAGTAGAGGATGAGGGTAAATGATGGAGTCCGTAAAGCATAGTGGTGTTCAGGTCTGCATTATCTACCAGATATGGCTACTTTTTCTTCCTGCACCAGCCATTCCCCAGGAATACACACACACACACACACACACACACACACACACACACACACACACACGAGAGAGAGAGAGAGAGAGAGAGAGAGAGAGAGAGAGAGAGAGAGAGAGAGAGATGGAGAGAGAGAGAGAGAGGGAGGGAGGGAGTGAGGGAGGGAGGGAGGGAGGGAGGGAGGGAGGGAGGGAGGGAGGGAGGGAGCGCTCTTGGTAAGTCTGAAATACTACTGTCCATTTGTCCCCTTTTCCCTTCTCAGGCACTGATCCTTGCCCCCATACTGCCACCAGTACATGTTTACCTTTCTTATCTTCACCACTTATCAAAAGGGTGTTTCAGCTAGAACAGTGTCACCCTGCCTTCAAAGCGAAGGCAAGCAACTTCAACGCAGAAGCATTCTGCGGGATGTTTACTGCATGCCCTACATTTGGCTTCTTAATGCAAGGGAGGAATCATTGGAAGGGCACACCTATCTCTTCTTCCCTGAAATACAAGGCAGTGGAGTTAGCAACATCCTATTACTTCCTTTACCTCATCACCCTACAAAGGTGCAATTAGACATTCACCCTGTAAGGTTGAGGGTGATTCATATAACTACCAGTCTGCTAATGAATGCTAACTAAATTTATTAACAGCTGGACAGAATGTTAACATGCATTTTACCATCTGCTCCCCAAGTTGTTTTTTTAATCATTGGAATACAAGCTGAGCCAGTTTTTCCATATCGACAGCGACCAATGGTTCACACTGGGGGAAAAAAAACTCATGAATGACTAGCCTAGAAATTTGCAAAGGATATAATTACGATTTCTGCAAAGAATTTTTCCTCGTTAGTAACTTTCAAGTACTTTGTTCATCTGCAGCTATGCCCTGTGTGGTCCCTGCAAAACCGTGTTTGTTTATTCTACATTTCTGCTCTGGTTCCCAGAGGGGCTTACAGTAATTAAGCAAAAGAAGAAAATCCCTGTTCACAGGCTAACAATCTAAATTTATGGCAGCTACTCAAATCTTACAATAATGTCATAATCATGTGTCATAGAGCAAAAATGCATAACCTGAGGTCTTAATCTTGATTACATCCTCCAAAGACCTCCAAAAGCAGTTATCAAATTAGTGTTTCTAGCTTGACAGTAGAGGAAAAACAGTAAATCCATGACTTAATTTCAATTAAACAAAAGGAAATTTTGTTCTGTTCCCATCTACAGCTAGCCCTTGACTTATGACCACAACTGAGCCCAAAATTTATATTGCTAAGTGAGTCATTTATTTAGTTTTGCCCCATTTTTCAACCTTTTTGCCACAGTTGTTAAGTGAATCACTGGAGATAAGTTAGTAACATGGTTGTTAAGTGAATCTGGCTTCCCCATTGATTTTGCTTGTCAGAAGATCACAAAAGGTGATCATAT